GGTATTCAAATGAAAGCTCTTGATTAGTGTAACATCAAGATGAGCTTATATCTTTAAAATATATATTATATAAATATATATATATGAAAAATATATCAAAAATGTATGTGGGTACTCAAATGAAAGCTCTTGATGAGTGTAACATCAAGATGAGCTTATATCTTTAAAAACGTCGATATTTAAGAAAGTACAGTGCAATTTAACAAGTCATTATTTAAATAAATTTTTCTTGCTTTAATTTATTTATAAAAAAAATTTTTCAAATTATCGAAGGAATTTTTAATGCATTACAAATTAATTTAACAGATATTTAATAATTTTAAAAACTAACTAAATTAAAACAAAAAAATTGAAAAAAATGAAAGATGTCAGCTGTCACAACAATTGTTGAATTTTATTCAACAAACAAATTTACTCCAAAAAAAATTGCATTTTTGATTTATTAAAATTTTTATGTCAATTTTTTTGCTATTATTTTTTTTTGGCTCAATTTATTTATAAAAAAAAATTCTTAAAATGATCAAAAATAAGTTAAATTAATTTTTATAAATCCAACATAAATAAAAAAAAAAACATTTACCTGTCTAAAATCATGTGGATTAGAGATAGCCAGTGACTTAGGTTTCCCGGGAGTTCCACCAAGAATACTAGAAATAAGATTCTTCGGCTTCAAAGTCCCCGTGTTCTCATCAAAGCTGTCACCATTCCTAGTAATTAATATTTTAAGCAGAGACTTGGCTGCCAAAAGCGCACGTGCCAAGTTATTGTCATTGTTTATTGGCAGGAGGTCATTGTCAGTCGGGTCGGTGTATCGAATATTAAAACTCTTGTCCTTATCATCTTTATTTAGCTCGTGCTTCTCCGCCAGTAGCTTGCGAAACTCATCATAGCCAATGGGATTTTTTTTGTTTATTGAAAATCTGATTATGTCTGAATCAAACTGACCAAAAAAAAAAAATTAAAAATTAACAATTAAAAAAAAAAAAAAAAAATTGTTTACCTTGCTCTTGACAGCAACGATGTTGCTGTCGACATGATGGTGGAGTTTGCTCTTGCTCATTATTCCCAATAATTAAAAACTTTATTTAAAACTCAATAAAAAAATCACCAATAATAAAATAATTAAATTAGCACTGAGTTAATCGATATCATAAAAACATTTTACAAACTTGTTGGCACGCCCGTTGATTAAAAAAAACGTATATTTACTCCTACAATCCTCAGATTTCACTCCAATCTTGTCAGTAAAAAAAAACTACCACTGGTTATAAATTTTTTTATAAAAAAAAAATTATAATTGTTTAAAAAATAAATAAGTTATTTATAAAATAAACTTACTTAATAAATAAACAACTAAAATAGTTTAAATAAATAAAAAAATATAATTTTTAACGCGACTTACGAATGTCTACTTCCACGCCTGCCTCTTTCGTGTCACAGTGGTCATAGCATCATTAATACTTTTTGTAGTGGTACTAGATTTTTTTTTTAATAACATCACAACAGTCCAGTGCTGCCATCTGTTAGTTAAAAAAAATATTATGTTGTGATAATATTGAAGTTAGCTGTCAGCTGTCAATTTTAAAAATTTTATTAACAAATCATAAATTGATATCTAAAAATTGTTATAATTATGATGACACTAAAGTTAGCAGACGACTAAAAATTTTTCATTTTTTTTTATTAATTAAATTACAACTAAAAAAATATTTCTAAAAAATTGCACTTATAGTTTTTCAAGTTTTTTACATGTGACAATTTTTTTTTTTAATTTTTTAATTGAAATTTTTTTAATAAAAAATTTCTAAAAATTTTGAAATGTCAGCTAATTTGATTTTCATGTTATAATTTTGTTTTACTGAAAAAAATTAGTAGAAACAATTAAAATAAAAAATTGACATGTAGAAAATGACATTAAAGTTCGCAGTCACTTGACTATTTTTTTATTTTTTTTAACAAATAAATTTGTTACAAAAAATTATTTTAAAAAAATTGGATTTTTAATTTTTTTTAATTTCTACTTGTCAATTTTTTTTTTTTGGCATAATTTATTTGTTACAAAAATTATCAAATATCTGCTAAATTAATTTACATATATGTAGAAAATTTAAAAAACTGTAAGTAAAATTAAAAAAAAATATTTTTTAGTTCGAATTTAATAAATGAAGCAAAATCAAAAAATTAAAATTCTCGGCTAACTTTGTTATTATGTCAGCTGTCAATTTTAAAACTTAAAAAATAAATAATAAAAACAATTAAAATGCTTCTAAAAATTATGAAACTTAATTTAGCATATATTTAATAATTTTTAAAATTTTATAACAAATAAATAATTAAAAAAAAAAAAAAAAAAAAAAAAAAAATTGTATACAACTGTAAAGTTATGCAAATAAAACACAATAATAATAATAACAGATAAATATTTGACTTAGAAAATTTAAAAACTAAAAAATGCAATTTTTTGGAACAAATTTTTTTGTAAAATAAAATTTAAAAAATTGTCCAGTGAGAATATCATAAAATTAAGTTAGCTGAAATTTGAAAATTTTTATAATTTTTTTTTTATGGAAAAAATCATTACAAAAAAATGAAAAAAAAAAAAATGTTCATTTGTAAAAAACTTGAAAAACTATAAGTGTAATTTTTTAACAATTTTAACAATTTTTTAACAAGATAAGTTTTATTATCGGTCATTCAATTTCATTTAACATTGATTTATTTTCAGTAAATTTATGAGTTTTTGGTTGAGCTTTCAATATTTCTATACCTGTAATAGCTATGTATTTTCATTAATAAATTCTGATACTTTTTTCATAATAAAAAAAAAAAAATGAGTTAGAGAATTATTTTTTAACTTATTTATTGTTGTAACATTGAATTTTTATAATCATTAATTTAGTTATTTAATTATAAAATATGTGTAAAAATAATAAAGCAGAGAATTTATATAACAATAATAATAATATAAAATATATATATTTTGTAAAAATTTGAGATTTTATGAAAAATTTTGGTAGTAAATTTAAAGTTTTAAAAAAAAATCTTACAATATTTTATAATTAAAATTATCATAACAATAATAACCTATGAAAATTAAATTAGCCGACATTTAAAAATTTTTAGATTTTTTTTTATTGAAAAAAAAAATTTTAAAAATATTTTTTTTGTTTTAATTTAATTATTAAAAAAAAATCAAATAATTAAAAAACGTCGGCTACTTTAGTATCATATAAAAATTTTTTTTTCAATTTTATATAAAAAGAAAATTAACAAAAATACTTAATAATAATAATAAAGCATAAAAAATGATGATTATTATTATTATTATTATTGATAAATTAATTTTGAAAATAATAATAAATTTACATGAAAATTCGAACTTCTCAGTTGTAATTTAATTAAAAAAAAAAAAATCGAAAATTTTTAGACGTATGCTAATTTCAGTGTTATTTTTTGTTCTCATTTAATTAATGAAATAGTCTAAAAATTAAAAACGTCGGCTAACTTAATTTTCATAATTTTTTTAGTTAAAAAATTAGCAGGCATCTGATAGTTTTTATTAAAAAAAATTTATAATGAAAATTAATTTAGCATATATATATATATATATATATACATATAAAATTTTTACATCACAACAGTCCAGTGCTGCCAGTTATAAGAATTTTTAAAATTGACAGCTGACGGCTAACTTCTGTACTATACTATATCAACTGTTATCTTGTCATCATTGGAAAATTAATGAAATAATGACACCGAAGTTGACAGAAATTTTTTAACAATTAAATTATTGTAAAAATAATTTATTTTAAAAATTGAAGTAAAAATTTTAAAAAAGTGTACATTTTTTTTATTGATAAATAATTTTTTTATTTGACTAAATGTTAAAAAATTTTAGAAAAAGTTCGGGTGAGTTTTTTTTATAAATAAATAATAAAATAAAATATTAATTTGTATTTACTTTTTTTAAATATTTAATTGACAATTTTAGTTGTTGGTTTTCATTATTTATTTCAGGGTTATGTGAGCTCTAAAATGGCTACGGTTGACACTGACGACGGAATTGTGGAGCCGGGGATTGAACCTGGAGCTTCCACGGAGACGATGCTGGTCACTGACGAAAGCTTTGAGGATTTTGATCAGCTGAACCAAGTTATTAAACAGAAAATTGACAAGGGATTTTCTCCAGATGGAGATTTTAAATCTTTGGAAGATGTGGTATGATTTTTTTTAAATAAAATATGACATTAAAGTTAGCTGTCACTTGACAATTTTTTAATTTTATTTAACAAGAAGATTTGTTGAAAAAAATTATTTAAAAAAAATTGCATTTTTTATTTTTTTAAATTTCTAGATGTCAATTTTTTTTGCCATAATTGGTTTGTTATAAAATTTTTTAAATTATTAAATATCTGCTACATTAATTTTCATTTTTATTTAACAAAAAGATTTTTTTCAAAAAATTAATTTAAAAAAATTGCATTTTTTATTTTTAAAAATTTTTGACTATGTTAATTTAATTTTTTTTCTTATAAAATTTTTTAAATTATTAAATATGTGCTACATTTATTTTCATTAAAATATTATCTTATTATTCTAAAAATTGGATATAACTTCTTAAATATTTATTTTTGAAAAAATTCAAAAAAATTCAAAATTATAGCTTAGAAAATTTCCTAAAAAAAATATTTTTATACTATAGATATCTTCAATATTTTAGGAGATATAATAATTTAAGTAGTATTAATTATATAATCATTATAAAAATTATTAAAAATATTAATTAAAAAAAAAAAAAATGATTATTATTTAAGTGTAAAATTAAATTGTAGGATGAAACAAGTCAACCTCCAATGGACAGTGGCGATCCACTGCACTGCAAGCATTGGCTAGCTCAAAAAAAGCACATATTTGTTTTAAGCCAAGCAGGGAAGCCTGTTTACTCACGTCATTGTCCAGAAGACAAATTGGTGACAATAATGGGCGTAATGCAAGCCCTGGTGTCATTTGTTGCAGCAGGTAATGACACGATAAAATCAGTCCACGCTGGAGACACCAACTTTGTGTTCCTTATCAAGGGTCCGCTGATTTTAGTGGCGGTGTCCAAGACACTGGAGAGTGTCGCTCAGCTCAACTTACAACTCACGTATGATATTAAAATTAAATAATAATAATAATAATAATAATTTATTAACAGAAAATACAATTTTATATTAATTAAAAAAATTAAATGTTCTCAAAAAATCAATTTTTTAAAAATTTATAATTTAAAAATTATATTTATTAATTTATTAGAGTTGATTTATTTTTCTTTTAATTAAAATAAAATTACAAGTGTCAATAACTAGGCCAGTGTCAGTAGCTGGGTCTTTTACCTTAGTTATTTTCAATTTAATAGATTTTTTAGAACCGCATAACATTATTAAATTATTTGGTAACCTAAATTAAAAATAAAGATTTTTTTCTGATTATTCTTCAGGTATGTGTACAACCAGATCTTGTTCGTGCTGACTCAGTCGCACTTGACGAGGGTCTATGAGCAGAGACGGAACTTTGATCTCAGGAGACTGCTGACTGGCAGCGAGAGGCTCATTGACCATTTGCTGAATTTTATGGACCGAGAGCCAGCTTTCTTCCTCGGGGCTGTCAAGTGCTTGGCTTTAGCTCCTTCAATGAGGGAGAATATTACTCAGACTATTATTCAAACTTGTAGTAAAATAAAGGTGAGATTTGTTTCATTTTTTATTTACTGGTTAAATATTTTTGATTAAATAATTAAATTTTATTTTATTTTTAAACAATACACTGAACCCTACAGCAAGGCCAATAAGCAGGTCCCATTAGAAAAAAAAGTAACAGTCTCTATTTAGTAAACATTTAAATTTGAATCAATGTAATTAAAAACTCACCAGTAGTATTTTTATAAAAAAAATTTAATTGAATTATTTGTTAAAAGCTTAACGAATGAAATTTTCAATATTTAATTTATAGAATTAAATATAATTATTAACTAGCAACCTTGCAGTCACTATGTAACTACTGTGATTTGTGAATTATGAATAAATAAAATTTTGCTTTATTAAATAATGAATTTTATAAAATTAGACTGTACTTTCTTAACTATTGACGTTTTTTAGGATATAAGCTCATTTTAATGTTACACTTGTCAAGAGCTTTCATTTGAGTACCCACATGCATTTTGATATATTTTTCATATATACATATATATAA